GAGCGCTGGGGCAAGTAAGCCAGTAGCCAAACTGTCTGCAGAAGAGGGGACATACCTGTCAGACACGTTCCGTTCCTCTGTGGAATCCAAATCTCGTGACCCTGGCTTCGGAAGCGTTTTGGGGCTCAGGTGCAGGCTTCTTTGCTGTATGTTGCCATAACAGCCGAGATAAGTGTAGGCAACCTGACATACTAGGCCCGAGCGATCTCACACAAGACGGTGACTTGGGAAGCCTTGCAGAGAATCTCCATCAGCGCCTCAGCTTGTCAGGGCCCCTTTAACGATCCCAAGACTTTCTCGCGAGGTGCAGATTTCGAGAACGACCGGTCTCTAAAGTGTGTGCTTGCAAGGTGCTGTATTGCGTTTGACACCCAACCCGCCTCGGTTTGTGTGCCGTCAATTGCTACCAACTACACGACAGGCGCTAAGCAAGCAGCACACAACAACAAAAACGCTGATCCAACCAGTGACACTAGCCACATGAAGAACAATGCCACATTGGGAATCAAGGAACGCACGAAGGTGTGGCAGCAATACTGAGTTTCCACGTGATGCTCTCCACGAACCATCGACGAATCCTATTGACTTCGTGTTGCAAGACAGGCTATTCGTACAACTCGAGAAAAGCCAACCGGCCAGCACGTGTTTGTGCGGGCCCCGTGCTTTCACATATTCTGTCATTTTACCTTTATCTTCAGGCAGCTTACGCTGTACTTCTCCCGGTTTCTCCCCAACTTTGATCATTCAAATGCGCAAACAAAGCACTAAACAAACCCTCCCATTTTGTCAAGCTGTTTAATGTGCCCAGAGACCTTCCAGTCCACTGCGGCGCAGAGAAACGATGACGCGTTTGAAGAGGATGCTTCAAGCAAGTACTCAAGACATTGGACATGGTACAAACCCTCACAAGACAAGACTGCCGCACACTGCACGCTCTCCTGTGGCTCTTGCTTTGCGATGGGAACCTGGGAACCTGGGAACCGGACTGAAAAGCCAACAGAAGACGCAGTGGTCTGGAGCCGTGAGTTGGCCTCTCAGGCTACGAAGGCCAAGGCTTCGAAGGCTTCATAAGGCCCAGCTCACGTCCCGGCCTCGCGCGCCTTGAGAGTAAAGCGTTCCCAAGGAAGCAGAAGCCTTGTCGCAGCACTTCGGCAAAGCTGCTTGGGCTTGGAACACACCAACGAGGCAAGAGCCCAAGGCGATCATTGCCCAACTGCCCGGAGATGCTACTGGCCTGCGATCTGCGATGATCTGCGGTGGTCTGCCATGGTTTGCGATGATCTGCGATGATCCGCGATGATCTGCAATTGTGCGACGTGACTTCATGACCGGGCGAGAGTCGAAAGGCATCTGAGATGTCAAAACCGAGCGGCGAAAGTGATAACGAAACAGCCCGTGGCAAGTTCAGGAGGACTGCCACCCATCAGAGCGTGAGAAGAAAAATGTGAATCGCAAAACCTGGCAGCGGCTGCTTACCGCGCATCCACACCTCCCATGCCTCTAACTTGAGGGGCAAGCCCAAGCCAACGAAAGCTAGCCCAAATCCGAGAGGAGGCCTGCGACCCTGAACCATCAACAAGAAAACAACAGCCCTGAATGCCCTAAATAGCCTGAAACCCTAAACACTCGAACCCTTGCGACCCTTAAACCCTCATGACCCTGTACGCTCAAGAGCTGAATGTCCGAACCCTCAAAACCTCCAAGCCTAAACACGTACGAACTTGTTTGTTCAGCCTTGCTGACCCCTCCCCTCCCCCCTGCAAACAAAGGACAGGTCGATTGAAGAGATCAAACTGACCCCCCTCCCCCCACCCCCACCCCCACCCTACCACACCAGGGAAAAGGCATCATTTCGGAACACAGGAAAATGCCAACTCTTGGAACACAGGAAAGCACACAGGAAAGCGTCATGTTGGAAAACAAGGAGGCTCGAGAATGAATCGACCCGCAAAACAAGATCAGGCACCGCGCCTATATAGATGTTGATAAGTCAAAGACGCGTCTGCGTTCGAAAATGACACCTTTTTTCTTTTTCCGGCATTCACGTTTCGCAGGTGGGTGGGGCTGCAACCCCAAACCCAAAATCCAGTTTTTATTCGGGTTCGACACACCCACACACCCACACAACCACAGACACCCACAGACACCCACACACCCGCAGACACACACGTACGCACCCATACACACACACAAACACACATACACATACACATAGACATAGACATACACATACACACACCCACACGCACACACATACACATACACATACACATACACATACACATACACATACACATACACATACACATACACATACACATACACATACACATACACACACTCATACACATACACATACACATAGACATAGATACACACACACCCACACCCCCACCCCCACACCCACACCCACGCCCACGCCCACGCCCACGCCCACGCCCACGCCCACGCCCACACCCACACCCACGCACACCCACATGCTTCGGGTTGGGATGGGGCACTTTGGCTATTGCTTCCTGGCTTTGATAAAGCGTGTTCTCAGTGTCCTACCTCCACTGAACGTCGCCGAGTCTGGGATGGTGGCGCGTCAGCAATGGCGGCTTGCCGGGCATTAAGCTTGCCCAGCGTCATAATTGTAGACCTATCCGTGTTGACAAACCTGTCTGACCGCCGGATGCTGCCACTTGAAAGACGAAACGCTGAGAAAGAGACCTCTTGTTCTTCAAGCCGGGGGTTTCCGAGGGGCCTTACGCCACAAGAGGAGGGCATGGATGAAGAGCGTGCTGTCAGCGCAATGCATCCTGGATCCTGGCGCCGCGATGAACGAACACTGTCCTGAGAGCAAAACCACTACAGAAACAATAGAGGAAACTACAAGGAAGGTGAGTCCAGCAGCAGGTTCAGGATGTTGGTGCCGGCGCGAGACAACATGAGCGTAGCTGCTGACACTTCAAGGGGGCACGGAACCGAACACGACCCGATTTCTGTGATGGACTGCGCTCCCTGGTTTTCTTCCTTGTGGTTGGTGAGGGGCCCCAAATAGACGCTAAGTGCGGGCCAGCGGCTGAGTTCGTAAAGCTGGTTGCAGACGATATCGACCGTCGCCGCCCAGAGGCCTGCCGTGTAAACAGAAGCCTGCTTCACCCTGCTGCGCAGCACAGCGAGCTGGGCCCCAAACTTTCGGTGATCTTGAGGGGCTTCCACCCCTTCCTTGCTTCAGGCTGACGTCCTGGCCTGGTGCTGAGCACAGGTATAGCGCGGAATCGATTAAGCTTAGGTCAAGCTTTCAACTGAGGGGTGGTCTCAAGCTTTCACACCTCAACCACACAACGCAGCAGCAAGACTGAAGCGCCTCCAAATTTTCCCAGCATCCCTACCTAGTGGGCCCACCAATCACTGCGTCCAAGCACTCGGCTGACCTCAAGCAAATGTCAACTGTAATGCTAACGAGCTGAGAAGACAGCAAAAAAAACGAAGAAGTATACCAGGGAAGACCCCAAACAGAATGTGTCGGAAAATTGTGCCGAGATTTGTGCGCCAGAAGCCGTACAAGCTTGGGATACAAGAGTCGTGTTGGCTGTTGCACGGGAAAAATGGGAAATCTATCGCTCCGAACCGAGAACCCGCATCTTTCGTGGTCACACGCGTGCTGAGATCTGTGTGCTGGAGACACGAAAGACATGGTGTCTGTCGCACAGGATATTTACCGGGCTTGCGCCGATCCCACCCCACCCGACCATGCAGGAACACACCAGCCCCCCTCGCCGTGGCCCAACCCGACCCAAGAGCCGAGAGTAAGAGAAAATGAGACGTGAACAACGAGACCCCGCCCCGTCGCCATCAAAGACAGGGAGATGGGAAGGGGGGGGAGCCCAGCCCATACGACCCAACAACCAGGCAAGCGAGCCCGGCCCCGTCTCGACGGCCCACCCGGCCCATGAGCCCAGAAAGGAAATGTGAAGGGAACTAACGGAGCCAAGACCAGAGCCGTTCCGTGGAAGCGGCCCACCCATCCGACTTGGGACCATGAAGGGAGCCACCAAAGTATGAAAGGGCCAAATTTTCCGTCGCATCCATCCAACACAAAAGTCAGAAAGTGAGCCATGCAGGCAAAGGTCCGTCGCCGCGACCCGCCCATCCCACACGGGAGCCCAAGACGAAAGGGAGCCATGAAGGGAGCCCAAGTTCGGTCGCCGCGGCCCACCCATCCGGCCACCGTGGCCCACCTTCCGAGGAGAGAACCCCCAAACCGTAAAAAGGAACTCAGCTCGGCCCATTGACGGGCGCGCTCTCAGCTCTCAGCTCGTAGATCTTGCGCAACTGGTGGAGACTGATAAGTTGCGGCGCCTGTACTGCACATTACCGCACAATCCATCCCAGATGCTGTCGAAATCTTCATCTTGGGCACCAGTGAGAAGTCTTTGCAGAGCTGGGTGAGAGCGGCAAATGTCATGTGACCTGCCCAACACAGACTGGGGTCAGACCATATTTCGGTTTTCTGCGGGTTGCCTTCGTGGTCAGCATAGGCTGTGTGCAGACCTTTGAAGATAGCCTCATGTTGCCACAGAAAATGAAGTACCTGACAGGAGATGGCACTGGACGTGACTGATCTTGGGCGTCTGACATCTGCCTCGGGCTCCACCAGCATACCTTTTTGTCTTTGGTTCCGTGACTCCTGACACAAACATGGTTGCCCTAACACAGCAGAGCATCAAGCTTAAGCTGGAACTCTCCTCCGTGACTGCCAACTGTTCTTTGCTTGCACCTCCCTCAGTAGACAAAAAATTGACGTTCGGCACATGCTTCAACATGTCTCTTCGTGTCAGCACCAGAAATAGTACTTGGGCCGCCACCAACTCTTTTGCTTCGTTGCCGCTCTTCCTGCAAGGCTCACTGCTGCTGCACATGCAAAGGAACGGCACACAATGTGGCATGACGACCATTGCTTGTCCTTGACTCAACAACCTTTGACGGCACCTGCTCCTGCCAAGCTGTGGAATTCAGTTTGAGAGCAAGAAACGAATCGCTTCCACGGAGTCCTGGTGTCCCTTCGCCTCGTCCTCGCTTTCATTGGTGTCAGGCTTGACTCCTTGAATGACGAACTCGAGCTGCGTTTGCGTGATGTTGAAAGCCTTGAGGGCATATGGGGGAAGCCGAAATCGGGATATCTCCGCAATGTTCTCAATGAACTTGAGACGCAGGGCTGATGTGGATGCGTTAAAGTGCTGCGAAGCAAGCGCTTCAACTATCGCTAGGAGGTCCGACCACTTCACCACGGGCAAAAGCGGCGCTGCTAAAGGCACCAGCTCGTTCTTGGCACAAACACGCGTGTCGTGCGACAAGCTATCAAAAAGGGATAGGCCCCAGAACAATGGAACGTTTCGCTGGTTGATGAGCCCCACATCCAGCACAAAGCGAGCGAATGTCGCGCGGTCCATTCCAAGGTCTGCACCTCCCAGCGGCCAGGAAGCAAAGGACCAAGCCTTGAATATCTCGGTAAGCGCCAAAGACTCTGTTCGCCGGAATTTCTTGGACTGAGCTGGCCATCTGCGTGGGAAGCTCGGCTTCACGGGCTTCTCCCGATCGATTTCCAGCTGCAACGTCTCAAGCGGAATTACTTCAGGGAGGAGCTCCTCCAGGTCAGGTAGTTCTGCAAACAGTATGTCAACTTGCCGCTTCTTGACGTCAGCATCCTTGTGACGGTCTTCTTCCCTGATGGAATCAGAAATCTCTCGGGTGTGCTGGCTCCACCGCTTAAAGTCCTGAGCAAGCGCCTCCTGTGACAAGATGAATGCTTTCGCAGAAGGCTTTCCTGTCTCGGATGTCGGGCCTTGCATGGCTTGCGCCGGTAAGGAGCTGCACGGGGTCACGGCGTTCGGAAGAAACTGCTTGGCGGCAAAAGCCAGTCCAAGTCTTTGAAATCTCGACTTGCCGAAATTGTCAAAGTGGTCTGACAGAGCCAGAGATCTCATCTTCTGATGGAGATCTTGCCTCTGGAAGAAGTCATGCGCGCTCACTTCTTCTGCCTGTTTTTGCTGCTTTTCCTGCGCGTTTAGAAACTTCAGCTGCTGAGGCAAAACCGCAGCCACAACCTCCGGCATCTCCGCGACATGATCCAACCTTTGCGCGCGGCGGGCAACATCTCGAACATCTCGAGCAGAGAGTGGCAGAGAGGGCTTCACTGCCCGGGTCGACGTCATGGATGGGCCATCCAGAGTGCGTTACTAAATACGGCAACTGCACCATCTTTGTCTTAAAATGAGGATGCGTATCTGTGAACACCTGACAGAACAAGCTTGAACAAGCGTTTCGAATCTGCAATGAACCTGTGGGCATCACAGCAGGCCCCTTGAGGGCCAGCTTGAGCCTTCAGCAGTCAACAACCGTTGGGCTCTTGGAGCAAACTTCAGCTGTCAACCCTCGGGCGTATTCTAACACGAAAATCGCTGAGGCACGTGTGCCTTGCATTGCTATTGTATCTCTGGGTCCTGAGAGTCTCAAACTCAAGAGATCTACCTAGATGCAGCCATCAACGCAGCTACCATTCGAAGTTCAGCCCAGTGACATACTTGCGAAGCATGCCCATAATCTCTTCGTTGTAGACCTTGGGCAGGTTTCTGCTCAACCAAAACCAAGAAGGAAATGACACAAACTCGGTGTCCCACATTGGCCAAGTATTTGACATTGCTATAGCCTGCTAGCTCTCTGGACATGCCTTGCTTTCTCGGCAGCCGTTAACCCTTTAACGGGCCGGTGCGGCAGTGCGACAAGACCTCGATGCGATCATCAGTAATTCTGTCGCCTTCACCTTAGACAATCAGACAGGTGCCATCCTGCCCAGCCTTCGACAGCAGTGCTACGAAGTCAAATAAAAGGAAAGCGCGCAGCTCTTAGATGAAGACCCTTGATGAGGGTGTTGATAAACTTCAGGCGCTGCGAGTAATGGGAACGTGGCCTGAGTCTCCCATGCTAGGCCAGCGCTCACATCGAATCGAGGATCTGCTGGGATGTTGACTCTTCCGGTCGTCGCCGCGCATAGCTCTTCGTGAAATCAACGGAGAAGTCAGACATGGCGACTGAATGAGTCAAACACGTGAGCCCTTCTCCAAATGAGTCAACACACGTCAACCTGGTTTTTTGAGTACGTGCCATTGCGGGGCCAGGCCCGATTCACAAGGCTGAGCCTGAACAAAAGCCTGAGATTCTGCCCTAACATTGTCAGAGCTCCTGTTGACATCTCGCATGCTCTGAAGAGCATGACTGCCCCTCTAGTCCGGAAGCTGCGAAATAGGCGTCGGTTCTGCTTTCACCTCATGCCTTGAAACCCCTAGTCTTCCAGGATTCATGGAACCTGCCGTGTGCTTGAGCCGTAAGCTCCCCCAAGCGATGAAAGTCATGGATTTGAGCTCAAAATCGAAAGCGGGTCGGAAAGTCAGCCTTAACGCTTCAGGCCCTTGCATATCCTCCTCGTGACCTTGTGAGCCTATTCACATCCATGCTGTACGTGGATGGGACAAGCATGGACAGAGGCCGACTTCGGACGTCGTAGACAAACACACACATTCGAGCAAGCTCCTTCAATACTTCCGGATACCGGTCATGACGAAAGAAGCCCGTGGCTGCAAGGCGCCTGAACCCTTCCTACGATGCCAGGCTCTGCGTAGCAACAAGAAGAGTCCTGCAGGATGTCCAAGCAAATCTCTCCGTTGTTGTAGATGTTCGGATGAAACATCTGGCAAGCGAATGTGCGAACATTAAACACCGCAGGTCCGCTGCACGGACACATATGCAATCAAGTGGAGCCTGTCCCTGCCATCCTCTTTGCTTCCCCGTGTCCCAAAGCATTCGCCAATGCATGAAAATAGCACCGACATGACTTGCGTGGCCCATATGAATATATATATATATACATATATATATATATACATGTTTTTCTCTACATATGAACACACACAAACACACATGTTTGATTATGTCTATGTATGGTGTCCTGGTGTCCAACATCTCTCAAACATGTCTCAATCACGACAGGTACTGAAACATCTGCTTCCAGGCAGCATTCATCTGCGTCAACGCTTGCATCAACGTCTGTGAACCTAAAAACATGGGAATACTGGAAAATGTGTGTCCATTTATAGCGCCTGCATCCATGCTCGCTGCTTACATGTACGTACATGTATGCGTGGTTAGTAGCGCATCCGCTGCCGATTGAAAATAATGTGTCAGCTATTCCCTGTATGAGTGTCTGTGATCTCGCGCAGCATTATGTCGACATCGAGGGGGGTAATTGACGATGATAAGCTAAGAACATGGATGTTGTGGTCCAATCTTTGTCGCTAGGTCTCTCTCTAAATGCCATTCGGCTGTCGTCTGTGACTTGCAAAAAAAGGCACACTGAACCATAATATTAGTATGTAAAAAGCTGTGTGAACCAAAAAGCTGTGAACAAAAAAATTGAGATAGATATCCATATACATATACATATACAGATACATATACATATACACATACACATACAGATACACATACATATACATATACATATGCATATGCATGCGCATATGCATATGCATATACCTGTAATATACATATAGAATAATGTTGTACAAAGCGAAACATAGCGCTGCTCTGTGTCTATGGTGCACTATTGCTCTACTTGTAGCATGGACCATTGACTTGAGTCCCCTGCACTTACTTCTTGAATGCCCGCATGCGGAGTAGGGTTCAGACGAGTAGGCAGCGTTTCGAGTAGGACTCTACCATGCTTGGATTAATCGCAGAGTAGAGAGCAGACAAGACCAATCGGAGCCTTCACGAGCGCTCGGAGAAAAGAACCATTCTCTGCGACTTACAGCTGCTGTGGTAGAACCTTCACGAGAAAAATGTGGCGTGCACCATCCAGATCCACCTGCAGATGTCATGGTAGATCTTCAACCAGATATCAGGACGATGGGATTAAACTCGCTGATCCGACGATCGTGCATTGCGACAACAGGGGGCATGATGACATACTCACAGGCTATGATGCAGTAGACGAGCTGATGTACTTTTCTCGCAGAACCCGAAGTATCACATCGGAGTGGAGCGGGCGAGGAACAGCCATCCGAGGTTTGAAAGATTGAGTCTATCAAATAGTTCTTTGAAGTTCTTCTGGTAGCTTTCGGGATTACTCAGTATGGAATCTTGAAGCCGCCTTCCGAAACAGTCGCCCCTCTGACACCGCCCGTGTGCTGTTTTGAGACCCCGTGCCAGTACTGTTGTACAGTTTCCGCTTGTGCTCTCCGGTTTGCTTCTTACGGCATTCCGTTACTTTTGCTTCCTGGCTTCCTGAGCGTTAGCACATGGAGTTTGGTGCACATGGACATTGCTCGCTCTGTCTTCACAATTCAGAAAGCCCAAGGCCAGGGTCTGCTGTTCTGGATGCCTTCGTCAGGAACTTCACATGGGGAGGTTTTGTCGGGAACTCCTCCGAAAATGTCACCTGGCAACATGAGAGAAGGTCTTCAACAGTTCGTGTGTAACGCAGCCATTTGCAGTGGCCTCGAGCTGGAAAGTTCCACCTTCCCACGGCGTGTCATCCTGGCACGCATGGTGCCATCGCAACCCCAGATGCGAGAGTCGCATCCCTGCGTTGTCGATCGCAATGAAGCAAGCGGCACTGGACCAAACATCACAGCCGTCCAACTCATGATATCATCCTGTGCTGGTGATGCACTGATTCCTGCGCACAAGTGCTGGCCGCTCCGTTAAGCAAGAGGGTAAGGACGAACGGCCAATTAGAAAAGCTGCCTTGAGGGGGATCTGACTGGAGCTTCTTCAAGTCCCGTATTAGCCTCGGGCGACCAGGTAGAATCTGAGTAGCTGGTATCATACGCAACCAAAGACTGCATCAAGGGCATGGCCTCCGCCGTGCCACCGTTGTCATGGTGCCTACCACAATCGCGCAAGTCAAAGGCCACCACAAAGAGTGGCTCAGCAACAGAAAGTCTGGAATCTGTCAGTCTGTAGCTGCGAACACATGATTCTTTAAAGCGAGAAAGGTCTCGACAAGAGTACTCTCGATAAGATCTCGAAAAACAAAGAGCTCGTAACGCACTTGTGGCCTCGGCTGCTGACTACAGCAGCAACTACAGAAGACAGAAACGTGTACAATCTCTCTTGTAGAGAACGCCTTCGTGTTATTTTTGGAGCACGCGTCTGGCATGAAAGGCTTGGTTTTCATGTTTCCGGTCCGGGGGGGCTGCTTTGGCGAAGGTTGGGTTTGGATACACTAAGACATGGATGTTGACATGCTGTCACAAGCACTGAGCTGAGCCGACGTGAGCATATCAGCTGGCAAGGCTGGCAACGGTAAGCCGGCAAACTCCGTTAAACGGCACGAAGGAAAAAAGGGCCAGAAACCACATCACACAACCTCGGAGGCTTTTTAAACAGTCCGAAGAACCAGTCTCCAAGTCCTGCGCTTGTCTCATACGTCTTCGCGTCAAGCTGCAGCTTGATGGGAGGGAAAATTAAATTTCGAAAGCGATCACTCTCACACTCTAATTTCTTGCAGGTGAAATCATGCCTTCCTGCCACGATGCCGCGTGCAACCTATACTGCACTCTATCGTCATCCTGGCATCCTCCCAAACAAATCGGCATGCTGTACAGCGGAAACTGCTCCAAGAATGTCTGGCAATTGCTGTAACACAGAGGAGCAACCTTATGTCTCAGCTTGAACCATACATAGGCCTTCACAAAAGCAGAATCCGTGTCTGCCAGTAGAATCCACATCAAGTTGGGAGGATCGGCTTCAAGCAATAGTGAAAAAAATGTCACAGCAATGCAACAACATGATACACACAGTTCACATACATTCCTCAATGCTGCAATCACTTTACGCATGCACACCTTGGTCTCACGACACTCTAGCACTGCTGTGTTGCGTGGAAAACCAAAGCTCTGTCGCTGAAAGGCCCTCTCCTGCCCACAACAAGGATACGGCCAAGCAGACCTTCGTCGCTTGGCCATCAGGTTCCTGCGCTACAGGAGCAGAGTACCAAATGATTCGTGTCCTGGGTAAGTGTTGTGCTGTTACGATTGGTCTCTGGGCTGCCAAAAGCATCGCGACAGCAGCTTCCAATCACGACACATATTCTTTACAGCTAACTCCATCCATGTGCCAACTCTGATTACTTCCGCAGAGCATTCAAAATGCGAGAAGTGCGGTACTGATGCGAAAAGGCTGCGTTTAACAGCTTCAGAATTGGCCCAAAATCCGATTAGAGGCATGACTGGAGACAGGGTGTACATGCCGCCACATGTTTCAAGAAACAGCAGCCTGGGAATATCTCCTGTATGCCCTACTGAGCAATAGCCACTGGCGGAAGATCAAGCAGCGTAAATGGCGAAGCCATGCTCAGCAACGCTTGCCCCAAGACGATCGAAAAACGTCTCCAGCACAGGAGCAGCGGTTTCATCTGCATCTCTCATTTGGCCAGTATCCTGAAGCTTTTCAGAATGATATCTCTTGAGGCTTATGCGGGATGGAACTCCGAGCCATGTAAGCCAAGACGACTGGTGATGAGAGACAGACTATCTCGATACACATCTGCAAATTGTACGGCACCTATGTCAGAGCAAACTTTCGATTTGCCGCTGAATCTTAGACTGCTTTCAGAGTCAATCCGAGCAGTCAACTTGGAACAGCACTCTGGAATATGCCTTGAGGAAACATGCACATCTGGTGCTGACATCTGCTTCAACTGCATGAGAAAATCTTTACAGGCAGGCCATGACAGCTGATCACCCGCTGCAGAGGGTAGAGTCCTGACATGCAACACACTGGTTGCAATAGGTCGCCAACGCAATTGACAAGCACAGGCCAATCAGACGAGACACAACCAGTACAATCATTTATGGCGATGCAGCCCCAAGGTAGCGACTTGTTTTTGGCTCTTCGTGTGTTGCCCCGTTTTAGGGGGCTGCAAGTGCCATTATGAACTAGAGAATGTCTTGACCATCGGGCAGTTGAAACGCTGCAAATTGCAGCACTGACAGGTCTTTAGCAGCTTCACAAGCTGTAAAGAACGGCATTTTTTCAGGCGTCACACATCCAAATGCCCTCCGAGATGCCGTGAATCGCACTAACTAGGATTTTTTGCAACCTTCGGCAGCTTCAGGAATTGCAAGCTACAAGGCCTGCAGCCACCCCTCCCATTTCCATCGTACAATGTGTCGAAGAGAACGTGGGTTCAGTAAGAGGGGGGGGGGGGAGGGGCTTGTTGCGGTCTGCGGTGGGGGGCTCATGGTTTGGGACAGGGGTTGGGCAGGAGGTTTTGCATTTAGGGCAAGGGCGGAAAAAACCCTTCACCGTGAATGTCCAAATGTCGGCGGAAGCGACGTTAGCCCTGAGATTTGAAAGGATGTAGAATGCATATTCGTGTGAATCGTACGAGGTCGCTTACTTCGTTCCTTCCTGGCTGCTCTCTGTCAGATCTGTCCTGGCTTCTTGCTTGCCCCTCCGCAAAAGCATACCCAAAAAGAGTAGTTTCCGAGCCCAACCAAGCTTTGCTGACACATCCTTGATGTCTACGTCTGCCACCGCAAACACACCCCTTCTGGCGACTAGGAGCAGGACCTATGCAGCCGCCAATTGTGCAACCACCACCGCCTGCGTATGTCCATGCAGAGAATGCAAGCACTTTCCAGTGGTTGCACTCCTTAGCAGGCAAGGAGAATCTGCACAAATGCTGCAAACAAACGAAAGAGTGTAAATCAGGCCTACTCAGCACACCACAATAAGTGCACGCTGACGCAACCTAGATGCCAAATGCCGACAGCTCCATCATAAGATGTGGTGGCAATAATTAGACCATCGGGGGAGAAACTCGCATGTCGGACCCAATCATCATGGAAGCCATCGAAGGAAAGCTGCAGCTGACCCGTGGTGACATTGAACAGACGGACTGTATCAGATCCGCATGCCATAAGAAGCCGTGAACCTTCTGGTGAAAAACAAGCTGAGCTGACAACACCACCATCGGCTTCGAGAGTCAGCGAGCACTCTGCATGCGACCCATCTGCGATCTCATCTGCAAGGTCCCACAACTTGAGGGTACCATCGTGTGCTGCGGTGATGGCTTGCATGCCTGTTGGAGAAAAGGCACACAAAGTCAGTGCACGCTGATGGCCACTCAGAACCCGCAGGCATCTGCCGTTGCTGCAATCCCAAACTCTTGCTGTTGAATCTGCGGATGCAGTCAGCAGGTACTGGCTGTCAGCTGAGAACACGGCATGCCTGACAGTGCCGCTATGGCCATGCAGAGTATGTTTGAGGTTGCCAAATGCATCCCAAAGCTGCGTGCACGAGCCAGCACCTGTTGCAACAAGCTTGCCACAAGCTGAGAAAACTGCGAAAGTCATCTCACAGTCATCGTCAGAGTCCGAGTCCAACTGTGAAGATGACTTGGGAGGGAACATGCGATGAATGACTTGACCGGTCCGAGTATCCCAAATGTTTGCATTGCCGTCTGCATCGACTCCTACCACCTTCTGCCCATCTGCTGAAAAAGAGGCACTTTGCGCACCCCCCTGCAGCCGAGTGAGGAATCGCAACGTCTCAGCGCAATACAAGAGTCCACTTCCTCCATCCTCTGTGGACAACATCAACAACTGGCCGCCAGGCGACATGCTGGCATTTTTCAAGGCTCCTTTCGCGTGTAAGCGAAGGGGCTGGCCGGCATCAGGCTGCGTTGAGTTGCTCGTTTCTTGATTGAAGTTCCAAAGGCATGCCTGCACGCGACAGCAAGAAATACTTTCTTCGCGGTTGCTCATGATCTACAACACAAAACAATGCTCTTGCCAAGTCATGTTGCAGTGCCATCATGCGATGCTGTCAGGCATCTTACCGGAGCTCTGGCCACATACACCGTATCACCGTCCTGCAGCCCGGCCTGCACGTCAACGCACATGAACAGCCACAAGCACTGGCAGTTTGTGCAAACATATGTTTGCGCCAATCACAAACAAGGCACCTCGCTGATGGTTTTGTGCTGTGGCAAGACCTGCGACACGCGAACACAACAACATTCAAGACGAAAGCACATACAGCCCGTCTCAAGATGCAGCCGGACAAGTTCAAGTTGACGGCGCCTCGGACTGGAAAATGATCGAGTGAGCCACGACGACTTTGTGGCTCGTTTCCTTCACAACTGCTTCGCAGAGCTGCACCACGAAATCTGTAGGTCTCAGCCGCACTTGGGCGATGGACTCACCACTGACGGCGCTGCAAATCGTGATCTTGACTTTCTTCTGCGTCTCCACTTCGAACTCTTCTAATTTGGCACGAAAACCATCAAGAATCTCCTCCTTGCGTTCCCGCTCCTCCTCACTGTCGCTCGTCGATGATGACACTTGCCTCTCGGCTTTCTCCAAGGCATCCCGGAGGTGCTGCAACCCATCACTGTCATGCTCAACGCCCTCGTTGAACATGCTGAACGGCCATCTGAACAAAGATGACGCCATCGCGGCGGGAGAGGCTCCCACAAAAAGACTGAAAAACTCTGAGAATCTAGTGCCGAAAATACCTCGCGGGGTCACAACATCGAAACTCGCGACTTCCATGCTGTGGAGTCCCTTTGTTCTGCTTACTCCAAGAGTTGTTCACCATCTTGTCACTCTATGCACCATCACGCTGTTTCCATCGTTTCGGTTCCCCAACAACTTGCAGTTTCATGCTCAAAATGTAAGACCAATTCACGGAATTTTATCACAAACCGCTCTGTGTTTTGAAATAAGAAAACTCGGTGCAAGGGTCAGACACTTCACTAACTCATAATGGTGATTCCTTCGTAAAGCACCATATTTCCTGCAATGATTCACGAGAGTGCCCGCTCACACAACAGCTGATGCAACATGCAGCGCCACAAATCCAGAAAACTGCAAACTCCCACCAACATCATCCACATTCGTCAAAAAGGACTCATGGACACCACAGAAGTATGCACATCGTGGCATCTAGCAACTGCGGGAAGCCTACGGCTTGGAGCTGTGAAGCGAGAACAGGACCGAATGGTGCACACAGGCCACTGATGACGGTGGCGATATCAAAAGAAAGCTGGAATTACGGGGAGGCATTCTGCAGGTCCCGCTTCCAAAGAAGCTCAGGGGCTTGTAGGAGCTGACATTTTCTCCAAATTACGCGTTGCTAGCAACTTTCCATTCCGCAACGAAAGATGCTGGCACGGACTTTGCTGCTTTGTACCAGAATAGGGGCTCTCCAGTACTCGGATCTTGGCAAGTCCACACGACATGGCCCATTGACCTCAAATGGCCGATGAATCCACGAGCCATTCCCCCGGTAGGGGTGCTTGGCTAGATTGTTCATGTTCGGCTCAGCTTCCGACCAGAAATTGCACGAATATCAAACCTGTTCGCAACCAGCAGTGAGCAAATGCACTCTTGAACATGGTGGTGAAGCACATTGATGTTCATGTGCAGAAAAGGCAAGAATCAACGGATAATGTTCAAATCGTTTCCTGACAAAAAGGGAACTGGCTGAACTGTTGGTGGAAAGGGTTGGTCACGGCAAGCAGGCTGGCTACGAACACCTAAGGAGAACGTGCTGAAGGACATAGATGACAGGAGGACTCTCACAAGTTCTGCTGGGGCTTGACGCGGAAAAGTCTTTTGCAGCAGATTCAGGCTCGCAAGCAGAAACAGCTGTTGAAGGTCACGACTAGTGGTACAAAGAACTTCTAAAGACACGAGGCACGGGCTTGCATCGTTTGCGATAATTTCTAGTATATCAGTATATCAATAGATAATCCACCCCAACCAGAGCCCAACCCCCCGCCCCCAGGGGCCGCCCATGACTCCCCTGTACCCCCAAGCCACGCGCTTTTGAGGGAGTTGCGCTGCTTTGGATCTCCCAATATAACTCCAGCACGTGTCAACACAAGTCAGCACGTCAAGAGTACTAGCTACTCAGATTGGCGAGAGTTGCAATTCAAGATAGCACCTTCTTCTCGTCTGTCCAGCGACCTCTCAGCCATCAATACAGGAAATCTGCAGATCCAGACCCCATCCCGCATGGTAATCTGTCCGCCGGGCACAAACGTTCCCACCATTGGTTGTGATTTCAAAACTATCACCATGCGCGTCGTTGTTGCGACGGTAGCCAGAATTTCCAGCGTATGACGCGCAAATGATGTTTGAGGAGCCACCCCAAACACACTTCGTGTTTGAATGGCTGGAGCCAATGTGCACATCTCGCCTGATTCTAACGTTGTCTTGCAAACCGTTGCAATTGAACCAGAGGTTCAAGCCCCAGCCTCCATGGTAATCCGTCCTCCGTGCACAAACGTAGCCCCATGGATTGTCGACAGTGACATAAAAACTATCACCACAATTTCTACAATCGTCGTTGGTGCGGTACGCTGAATCAGCTGTGTGCGCATCACAGCGCATCTCATGGGTAACCAGCAGGCATTTCAAGTTCGCGTGACTGCTGCCCATGTGAATGTTGCGCACTTGGAAGTTGAAGGAGCCACCGGTTGGATCGCATTCGAGCTGAAGGTTGAGTCCCCAGCCACCACCATGATCCGTCCTGCGCGCACACCATCGGTGCCCATCCTCAGGGAACGACTGCATCCACATACTTTCCACTTGAACATGACTTTGGTCCTTCTTGTATCTTGAAATGTTAAGTTGTAACTTTCAAAGGACTTACAAGAGGATGGTGGTGTGGACCGGGTGCAACTTGGAGAATGTAGCGCCGTACATGGGAGGCTCCGCGGTTTCTACTTTAAACAGCCCGACCTGGTACACGGAATAGGAATCCGAATGCGTGTCGAAGCCCAAACGGACGCCCTGATTACCTCCATCCGATCGACATCGCACCGGCTCATCTGGCATCGCACACTTCGTGTTCACGGAGCTGGAACCGATTGGGACTATGACCTTCAAATTGCTGTTGTCCACCGGGCAAGCAATTTCCAAGTTCATACCCCAGCCACCATTGTAATCATCGCGCCTGATGCAGAGAGACCTGGGGTTGCTGCCGTCAGGGCGCCAGATGCTGAAGTCGTCTCCGCAGTTCCTGCAGTCCTCGTTGGCGCGATTGTTCTGATCTCCAGCATGAGGCTCGCAGTTCACACCCGAATAGGTACGGCCACAGATGGATTTCCAGGGCGACGGACCGATGTACTCAATGGTGACTCCAGCCTTGTTTTTGGCAATCTCGCGGCTGTTGTCGTCTTCTGCGAAGTTGAAGCCAAGCACCTGACGACCGCATATACATATATATATATACATATATATTCATGCACTTCTGCTTTCAACAATCTGACAGAACAACCTGAACTATGCACCTTGAACCACTTGCCGACCGTGCCCACAAATGGGATGCTGACACCGAGCAGGACCTCCACTTTGAAATCCACACCAGTGACTCCTCTGGCAGCGTAAAACTCCTGCAAGCAACGGAAATGCTCAGAAGGACCAAAGGTGGCACAATGGTTGTCACAGGCCCGGGAGATATCTCCCAAGTTCAAGTTCACAGCAAGGCTTGCCCGGACTCCCAGCGGCGCGGGAAGCGGGATCGGCAGGCTCATAGAGAAGTGGAACTTGCTGATGAATGGATGATAGGAAATTCTTCCAATACTCTGGCACAGACTCCAGCCGATCTTATCAGCAGCTTCCCCCAAGATACCCCCAATGCACAGCTTGAGCTCCGCAAAGTAGTGGTACGTGGCCAAGAAGTCTGCAGTGCTGCCGCACGATGAGACTTCCACTCCGATATCCAACTTGAACTGAAACGGGTCTCCTGGCTTGACACCCTGGCAAGGAGTGCAATAGCCCTTCACACAGCTTGCCGAAGTGCCCATGAGCTCCTTGATGCTTCCAAACACATCAAGGCTGTAGGAGCCGCTGGTGCTGATGCAATTGTTGCCATTGACGCAAAAGGAGCAATCAAAAGGAGCCGGCTTCCCATCAGCATCCTGGCATGGCCCAAGACCGACAGGGCTTCCACTTTGCAGCAGCGAGCTCAATTTACGATTCTCCTCCTGCAGTTCTTGCACGAGCTTCGGTTGCAGGAGGGCCAAAGGCTCGGAGTGATGGGCATCGCACCATAGCGATGGCAGCTTGTCCACACACAGGCAATTGACATAGGCCTGGATTTCTTGACTTCGGCTGATCCAATGCCCTGGCCGTTCCTTCCGCAAGAGGAAGTTGGAGTCGCAATACTGGTCCTTGGTGAAGCCATGAACCTTGTCGTAGTACAGGCGGTCCAGATAGAAGAGCCGCGTCATCCTCGGTTTACTGGAACCATGCTTCAGCGTGGCTTGCAGCAGCAAGGGCTCCACTTCCAGGGTTTCTTCCCTCTGGTGCCTGTGTAGCCTCTGGGCAAAGTGATGCCCCAACTTGTTCTGTTCATCATGCAGGACGAGGGCACTCTTGGCATAGAAATCTAACACGGAGAGGTGCTTCTTCATTTGCAGCAACTGCGAATCAGCCACCAGAGAATTGCACTCCGGCGACTCATCTGCAAGCTGCCCGACAAAGAAGTCCAAATCCAAGACATCGGACTGGCAAAGGCCTTCCACATAGTCCGCCAGGTCCTTTGCAACCCGAGCTTCCTCCATGGTCATATTCCCCGACATGATGGATGCTTCATCTTCTGCCAGGGTATGGGCTTCGGACGGATCTCCACACATCTCAGCCATCTTTGCTATCTTCTCAGTGAAATGACCAATTGCTTCTTGGGTCAAATTGGCGGCTCCCAGGAGCCTCTCCGCCTCAGCCTCAAACTGTCTCCTGACCAAGGCTTCTGCGGCATCCCGGCCAGCCACCATTGCTGCTTCGATCACGCCTGCGTCATCTGGCCAGTCAGAGCCCAAAGCTTTCACCGAGATGTTTGCAGCCATCAACTTGGACAGAATCTCAGCTGTCCTCACCAAGTGCCATAGTGCTTGTTCCTGCTTATCCCCAGTCAAGTGACTTTGCAAACATGCATCCACCATGGCAATGATGGCTGAACCATTGGACTGGTTGGCTGTGGCGGCTGTGGCGCCAGCGGTCGGAATGCTTTCGTTCGTGTTGAACAAAGCACCTGCGGCTTGCTCACGAGCAGACTGGGTTTGAAGCAGAGCCTGGCTTCTTGAGGCCCCGGGAGCATCACAAGCATCATCTGCACGTGTGCAGAGGCAAAGAACTGAGCTGATCACCAGGACATTTGAAAAGGTGCGCAAGCTGCACATGCCCACCATTGCGCAATTACGTTCCAAAACGGAAGCGGTAAAGGAGATGAAAGTGCAATGCTTGCCAAGCAGAGGATTGAACCGAAAGCGAAACATGCGTACGAGAAACTCGACGTTGCACGCAAAAGAAGATCCAAGCTTGCTAGCAGCATCACTGCAAAGCTTGCGGACATCACGAACTTTGAAGTACGTCGTCCACCCAACATCTGTTCGCAGATTCACCCAACAAGGTTCCATCTGGCCGCTTGTGAACAGCGGTTTTGCTCTGAACCAATCGCACGCATTGCATTTTTGCATACAAGCGCCTTAAGGCCTTAAACTCATGCCCTTGACGACTTTCAGTTAACTATCATGTTTTGCCTGATTCGTGCATGCAGAATGACCTTCAACTTGCGCGTGTAGCCGTGCCTGGCCACCAGCTGCCACGTGTTGAAATGCAAGTATATGTGCAAATGACAAATGGCTCTCACAAGAACGTGATTTTTCAACTGCCATTGTCTGCTCATAAAGCCAGGATCTAGCCTGCACAAGGGCTGACCTTAACAGTTCATGGCAACTACCGAGTGAATGAGACGCAGGTGTTGTGGCGAGAGCTGGCGCTCTAGATCGTCATAAGAACTCATTCCTTCTTCTACATGTTTAGCAGGATCCAAAAAGCAGCCTTTTCTCTATTTCCACGAGAGAGACACACACACACACTCTCACACACCCTTGCAAAAATATGCTCGCATGACGGGTTTTCCTAAGGACTCGCATGTGACTTGAAGCTAATCCTTTTGGATGGCCTGCACTTATACACCTTGAGCCTACACCTACACCTTGAGCCTTAAACTCTACATTGCATGCAACAGCATTTCCGGCTCTGTCTTTTGCAACGATTTTTCTCGACGAAACTCATTCTGACGGAGTGCCCGACTGGCTCGTGAACCAAATGGTTCGACCGGACCTCGACCCATGTAGGTTGGGAGTTCAACAACCAGCTTCCTATCGGCCGATGCCTACTACAAAAAATGTTTTTTCGACTCGGTAAGGGTCGCTGACTTTGGCGAGTGCAGGGCCCCTGCGAGACTACAGGAAGTCCCACGAGGCGTGGCTGGGAAGCGAGCCCCGTGAACCCACCTTCTCAATACAAATGCAGCATTGTGTCTGCGCTGACTTCCGGCAGTGATAGAGCAGCCCTTTTGTGTCAAAAATGCGGGATAGGTGCTTGTCGAGCAAGTTGCGCTGGGCCTCCATGAGCTCGCCAATGCAAGGATGGCCAGATTCTTCTGGCAAAGCTTCGCAATGCCTGCAAAGCTGTGTCTTGCTTGCAGAGTGTATGAGCAAGCGCAAGGCCGCCCGGGCAAGTTCGCAAGGCTCGCAAAAAAATGGAAGCATATGCCACGCTTGTCTCGCGTGCTGCGGGTCCTGGTGTCGCGCGAGCTGGATGGTTCACGTGGCCGCGAGCTGCGCAATGCGAGGCATGCTATTCCAAAGCACGGTCAAGCCGAGAACATGGAAACCCAACGGAGAACACTGATGCCCCAGGAGTTGCGCGCATGGGACCCTGGAGAAGCGCACCCACCTGGAAGTTCCAGAGCGCCGAAGGCGACTCCTTCCCGTACGGTTAGGTTATTTTCAGAACGACCACCGGAGGCGAACCTCAGACGCCCCGCTGGTCTTCCCCATGCTACTCTTATTTGAAAAGCAATTCTCTACTATCATTCTGTCCCGTCCCCCTGGCTCGGACGGAGGCCAAGGACGGACCAGCAGGTACCTGAATTCTGGGTTGTGCAGTACGAGCCTTCTCGATCCCCTTCAATACTGCTTGGGACACTTTACTTGACCGCTTGCCATATTTATCCCACGAAAACGACAGTCCTTCTCACACGCATGAATGTGTTTGCCACCACAAACCTTAAACACATTCGACAGGTAAGTTGTGAAGTCCGCAATCAACTCATTCAGTCTGAAGATTCAAATAGAATCAACAGAATATCTCAGTTGGCTTCCCTTCTTTTGGGATGCTCAGGCATCGCCCAAGGCAACATCGTTGAATTATTGTCTTCCACCAAAGGCTTTCGACAACTCTCAACGGTACTGAGTAGACCCTACACGGATCGAAGTTCAACGATGGTCGAGCCTTTCCCAAGCCAACGGATACTCGATTTGAGGGGTGGAATTTCTAAGTGATCGGGCACGCCTTGGGTCGAGCTCCTTGGCTTGAAGCAAAGTTTCGGGAAGGGCCCCGCTGGCACTGAAGCGGCGGTTGATGCGTCGGGCCTGGCCTCCCCATAGGCTTCAAACTTGAAACTAATGTCAAGTTGCGCATTACAACGGAAGAAGGCAGTTTAAAGACAAACTCAACAAACCTTGAAAATTGACTTCCCGCTGGAAAAACTCTTGGAAAATCATGATGTTTCGAAAATAATCAAAAACTTCAAGGTTCAAAAATCTTGCTTCATAATCTTTTGATCTTGATTGTTAGTGAATGCCACATCACTGTGTGGGGTTGTTGTTTTTGTGGCCCCACTCCGCCCCCCTGCCACGCCTTGCAGGCCGCCGCCCGCTGCCCGCCGCCGCCCGCCGCCGCCCGCCGCCGCCCCACCCACGTGCCAGATGACACCCGCATCGCCCTGCCCTTTAAAATCGTCCTCTCGTGAACGTAGTGCCTCTATGGTCTATCTGTTTCTGCGGTTTCTGCAGTACAAATGTTGTACCTCACCTCTATGTGTCTCTGCGGTCGGCGACGCGCACTCTTGGGCCCGCCCTTGAAAACCGTCCGTTTGTAGCTCTGCGGCTGCTGGCCCCTACAAATATAATGCGCTGCGCGAAGCCGGCCCCAACCCCCACGTTTGGCGGCCGGATCGAAAAAAACACACAACCGAGGGTTTCAGGTTTAGGTTTAGAGCTGGGTTTAACGCTTTTTTTGGGTTCAGGGTTTGGGGTTTAGGGTTTAGGGTTTAGGGTTTGGAGCTCTTTTTTCTCGGACGCAGCGATATGTCCCAAGACTTTATCGGCGAGCTGAGGCAACATCACATGTACTGTGACATGAGCCGGCGTCAAAACGCAAACGTAGTGTCTACACGAGTCAAAGCAATAGGTCCGTGGACCGTCACTGCTGTCTCCTAACCGGGAGATCGGTATTTGATTGCGGCTTGGGACTGGCCCAATAGCGCAAGCCGTGATTCGGTAGCTGAACCACACACAAGCGGCGTGGAGAACACTGACACGCAGAGTACGTTTTTGGTGATGTCGCCCCCGTCATGTACCTGGAAGTTGCAAGCACAATGTGGGTACGAGTGCACTTGCGGGCCTGCCAGCTTTTCCGGTACCCCTCGTCTCTTCAGCAAGATCACGCTGTCTCCGGCCTTCACAGGAGTACAGTAAGGCTTTCCAGGGTGGAGACTTTGCGGCGTGCGAGTACGCACTTCCGCCAGCTACATCCTGTATATCCGGCAAGCTGTGTCAGAAGCAAAGAAAACGCTGGCCCCTACAACTTGTAGAAAAGCTAGGTTCATGTAGCAAGGTCGCTAGCCATGGAGGCCTCCAGGCAGCACGGGACCGACCAGTCCTCCGTAGCACGGCTTTCCATGCCTTCTCACAGTGAACGTTGATTCCTCTGCTTCGGATGTTGCTTTGCATAGGGCCGCCCTGCCGCAAACCGCAGGTCCCACGAATTTTGAGGAGCAGCGGGCCTTCTGGAACAGGCTGGACCGCTCGCTGCGTACCATACCTCAACGTAACGTATGCGTTGTTGCTGGTGGTTTTAATGCTGGGCTTCATAGTCATCCAACCGGGCTTGACCATCTCCTCGCTCGACATGTCCCGGATCAGCAATAATTGCAGAATGTCAGACCGGGCCCTTGGCTCCCTGGTTGGCCGCCGAAAGCCCCAACTCTAACCTACTGTGCGATATACTGCCAGCCTGTGAAGCTGCAGATACGCAAAAGGGTACTCAGGGAGGGCTATGGCCAAAGCGAGATCTGTGCATTGCTCAGCCCAGTGGAGACTTCTGCGGCCTGTAAACGAAAGCACTAGTGAAGTACACTAGCCCTACTCTCTACAGCCCTCCACCTCCCCTAGTACCACAACATGAGTGGTTGTTTGGGTTTAGCCCTGGAGAGGAAGGAGTCCCTATGGCGAAACCTAACGAGCATAGCGCCAATGTAGCTAGCTCAGATCGCGCTCCCGTGGAAATGGTCCAATCAACATAGCACTCGCTCAGCGGACTCTTGTATGGAAGGTGGACAGATCCCACTCATAGCTCGGAGGCCGGGTCCCTTCGGGTCCCGGGTTGCCCCCAGGGTGGGTAGGGTGGGCACTTTGAATTTGCCCCCCCTTTTTCTTAGGGGGCCTTGTAGCCACAATGGCCACGGGCGCTGTTGCCGTTTAGCGCTCTGCACATGTAACATCACAACTGCACATAGCACAAGTGGCACATCTGACTGCATGCACATGTAGCTCATGTGTGTGACAGCAGCAAATTCAAGAGTGATTGTTTAGCCCTTTTGGGGAAACACATACAATTAGCCCCTTCTGGTTTAGGCCTTCTCTGCCTGTGGTGCTCTCATGCTTTAGCTCCCTTCCCTTGGGGATGGTAATAGCATTTCGAGAGAAGGCAAAAACACCTTCGATGTTTTTAGCGATTATTGGAGAGGTCGGTCTAGCATACACGGTCGTAAACAGCTAGCCGTTCACGAGTGCGTACACTAGCCCTACTCTCTAGAGCCCTCCACCTCCCCTAGCACCACAACATGAGTGGTTGTTTGGGTTTAGCCCTGGAGAGGAAGGAGTCCCTATGGCGAAACCTAACGAGCATAGCGCCAATGTAGCTAGCTCAGATCGCGCTCCCGCGGAAATGGTCCAATCAACATAGCACTCGCTCAGCGGACTTTTGTGTGGAAGGTGGACAGATCCCACTTATAGGGTCCCGGGTTCCCCCCGCGTAGCCCTTCGAGCTACCAGGGCTCCAGCTTCTGACGCTTCCTTCCGAAGCGTCCCCCCTGCGGGGCTCTAGCTCTCTTTCGCAGACTGAGCTCCTCATAGTAGCTTTCTGCGTGCTTGAGCAGTCTACCGAGGATCTTCCACTCTAGCTCTTCCCCCTTCAGGTGCACCCTGAACGCCGGGTCAAAGCTAGCAAAATTCTCATTCGTGAGATCATCCGCTAGCTGGTTGAGGTCCCGTGGAATCCACCTCAGTTGGAGGTCGCAGTTCCTGCTCGCTAGCTCTTCAGCTAGCTCCATCAAAATCAGCATGGATGGAAACTTGGTAGTCATGACCTTCTTTAGCAGTGCTTCATTGGACTTGTTGTCTGTGTAGCCCCTGAGGGCTACTCGTGTGGCCTTTCGACCATCATCTTGCGGAACCCATAGCTTGACGGCTACCAGTGTGCCCAGTAGCTCGAGCGCCGCTATCGCCTTGTTGGGGTCCTTTTTAGCGAAAGTCCAGGGTGCCCAACTACGTTCCACATCCAGCGAGAACAGGGCCGCGAACAGCCGGGACTAGCTCCAAGAAGCCCCCAATCCAGGCACGTCCATCTTCAGCCTTGGCGTCTGTTAGGAATGATAGCGCCTGGGAGTGGTAGACGATCGATTCCGGTTGCTGCAGTCTTTCTCGTCCGCCCAGCCTCTCCGCCAGCCACTCCATAAGGATTCGAGCATCGTCGGCAGTGTTAGCTTTCCCGGCTTCCCTGCCACAGCCGATGACCAGGCATGTAGCGGCCCTAGAAACGGCCTCTCCCAATCCAGCGCCGTCGCAGCGAAGCCAAGTCTCCCCAGGCCTTGGGCCATCTCCTTGGCCCCCACGTAGCCGTCCTTGACCTTTGCACGCGCCATCCCACCAGCCAGTCGGTCGAGAGACCTAGCTTGTAGCCAACGTCGTACTCGGTCTCCAGGCCTACAGAAGGGCTAATGGAGCGGATTCTGCGAGAGTTCCGGGAGCGCTATGGGGAGAACCGTGCTATTGCGGCGCTGGCAGTGATAGTGGAGGATGAATCCACAGGCAAGAAAAGGGTGATACACGACGCTGGCCATGGGGTGAGGGTGAACCGCCGGATTAAATGCCGGGACAAGATCCGAGCCCCAGGAGCTAGCGAAAAGAAGATGCTGCTCCGCGAGATGAGAGCTAAGAAGAAGACTGCCTTCTCGGTGGTGGGTGCTACAAGCACCAGGCCTCGGAGCACGGCTTCATGGGCTGCCAGATGGATGAGAAGGAGGAGACAGGGGGAGCCCCTGTTCGGCCCTCAGCAAGAAGTCCCTGTCCGGATCACCCGCCGCTTCCAGCAGGCCCCTGATGAGCCGAAGGGGTTGCCCCTGCGCCACATCCGTCATCTTGGGATTGTCTGGATGCTGCTCTAGCAGCCATTCCGCCAAGATACGTCGGATCTCCTCCTGCAGCTTGTCGTCGCGGGCCATAGCGCAACCATGCTCACCTCCCGCCGCCATACAGAAGGCTTCCCGTTCTAGCTCCTTCTTTGAGGTCATCCGCTGTAAGACTGTCCGGCGTATCCTCGCTCGTAGCTCCTCCCAAGACGCCGCCGGATCGAGAAGGCTGCAAAGCTGCTTCTGCCATGACTTGCAGTACTTGTTTTTAAGCACTACTAGCACAACCCGAGGGAAAAGACCAAAAGAAACAAAACAAAGCTTGAGTGCGGTTAGCCCATCACGCCGGTTGTCTTATGCTAGCAGCGTAGCACCACCGGGGCGGGAACACACGGCTTAGCAAAAGCCTCCCAGACCTGCGGTAGCTTTTGTAGCTGCTTCGGGCGCCCCACACTAGCTCTCTTTCCCCTCTCTCTCTCCTCTCACACACGCAGCCCCACGCATCTTAGCCCCGTAAGTGGTGGACGGCTGCTCCTTTTCTCTTTCTAGCACCTGGCTGCCTTCAGCTCGGGGCCAGCCGGGGATGGCTTGGCCCCTGCCACCTCTGCGACAAGAGTCGCACTTGTGGCGGGAATGAAAATCAATAGCGAACCACATTCTTCTGTTGCAGAAGTTGCGGTAGGAGCTCTCGCAGCTAGCAACGCAGCGGAAGACATAGCGGGTGGTTTCCAACCTGCCAGTCCAAAATTAGCGTTAGCGGGTGAAACTTCGTAGCACCCCGAGCAACTAGCTGCTGTCCTCTAGCGGTAGCACAGTGGACCTCGAGGATCTCCGTGCACGTAGCTCGCTCTAGCCAGACTAGATCTGTAGCAGGGGTGACCTTGCCCTTGCCATGGCCCTTTGTAGCGCGTAGCTCCTCATAGCGCTTCTGCAGGGGAGAGTCCTTGCTGAATGCTCCTAGCGGCCATAGCTCGGGCTTCACTCTGCCTCAAAAGATCTCGATTCGCGAGTTGTCCTCTCCTCCCGGTCTCCCATCTCGGCAGCGTAGCACTTTCAGGGGCTTTAGCCGCTCCACCCCCTCCCACTTTGTGCAGTCTAGCCGCGTCCAGCTCTGCGGGACCGCGTAGCTCTCGAGGATGTGCTGCCACTGAGCCTTAGCACGGGCGTCACGGGGCCCCTTTCCTTTTAGCCAAGTCACTCTCAGCCCCACGGGGCTTTCGAGAACAATGTTGCGAGTAGCAACGAGCAAAGCTTTTCAAAGCTCGAGGTCAGTTAATTAAGTTCTTCGGTGGCGAATCATGCATCACTTTCCCGGGGGTTTCTGAACGGAAAATTGCTTCTGGCTGGTTTCGGACTACATCTCAGCTGAAGTAGGCAGTGAGGAAGGTTGAATAAGGTGGCAATGAGAAAGTCGACATCGTGCCACTTTTTGACTAGTCCGACTCCAGCAACTTTCGCAGTTGAAAAAACCAGAAGTCTTTTCAGTTTCTGGAAACGTTGCACAGGAATACGGTTTTCTTTGAACAACTTGAGCACTGCGCTACGGAAAGCGGCAGAGAGCTTGCTCATACAATTGCCTTCGTCGAGAAAACCTCCTACGCAGCCATATTTAGAGATGAAATCTATGGTAAGTTCCACCCAGGCTACAGCTTCCTGTCTTATACTAGTGCTGTACCAAACGGGCTCACTGAAATACTCTACAAGCGCTTGTGCTGCAGAGAGAGAGAGAGAGAGAGAGAGAGAGAGAGAGAGAGAGAGAGAGAGAGAGAGAGAGAGAGAGAGAGAGAGAGAGAGAGAGAGAGAGAGAGAGATTTTTTGCCGGGTCCCTTGGTTACGGTAGAGTACGAGCGAAGAGAAACACAGGAAAAATGCCATTGCTGAGACAATTTGGAATGGTATGACGCATACCGCGTAGCAACTATAGCTCGAAAAGCATCAGGGACCTGGACATTCTTGGAGATGCATTCATAAAACGCATTCTCTTCAGCGCCGTACGTCACACTACTCGATTTACATCCTTGGCAGACACGAGTCTTGCCTCGGATTCGAAATGACGGCTGGCAGCTACAAGAACAACGTTTGACGATACCTGCAGGCAACTCCTTGTCAATAGCACTGGACACCCAATCGGGGTCTTGGAAGTCACTAAAAGCATTGCGCTTACAAAGAACAAGAACCCAGTATAGTTGAACGGACATGGCAGTGCCACTGATGAGGTTGTGCTCTGCAATGGCTTGTTGGTGGAGCACACAGCGGGCCGCATTGCACGCGAGCTTATCAGCATTGTCATTGCCCTCTTTGCAAAGCTGCAAGAACGCATCATGTTCAACATCCCTCCATTTAGCATGGCCTTTGACCTTGCGAAAGGAAATGTTTACTTGGCGCGACTCGCAAACATCACAAAAAATTGACCAGAGATCAAAGTTGTCTAGGTGTCGCAGTCCCTCACGGCCATGCCGAAGCAAGTACGTAGCCGTATTGATGACGTACAAACAGTCAGAAGCAACCTCAACATCACCAACAGTAGCTTCTACGGCATGTATGACTGCCCAAAGTTCTGCGCGAGGTGCTGAGTGGTCATGTCCGATAAGGGGAACGGAAAGATTCAATTTGCCTGTTGCAAATATACCACTGCCGGCCGAGTTCAAGACTCCTACCGAACAAGCACCGTCTGTGAAGACTCTTTCGCAAGAACACTTACTAGAGAAACGCGGCCTTATAACTTTACCCTTTCGGGACGCCTCAAGCTCGGACCGAGCTGGACCTTTGAAGGCCACTCCAGTAAACAACGACGTGCGATTTTGACTTTCAAGGAAACCGTCAATCAACCTGCGCTCATCGTTATACGCGTCACAACAATAGACAACGTGCTCAAAAGACTCTTGTGACTCACAAAAAGGGCAGTTGTTGGATCGGATAAAACCAGCCTTGAACAGTCTGGGAGCCAGATATAGGCCACCAGAAAGCAAAGCGCGAACCATCTGTTTATGGTAGTAAGAGAAGTCTCGTTTGAAAGCGAAGTACGACGCCATGATCCCTTTGGAGTTGTCCGACGCTGCTTCAAGATCAAGTTCTGCATGTTTTTGGTCACCTTCAAAGTCTTGTCGTTCATGCTCACTGCGCACCAAGGCGTTCGCGACAGCATCTGCCAGGATCCTTTCAAACCACCCATCACTTCCGTGTAGAAGGTCAAAAGAAATGCCACTCGCAGTGTGAATCAAGCGGGAATCTTCACTGTCGGTTTGCCATTGCAGTGAATCAAACAATATGGCGATTGTAACTGGTAGGCCATTGCGCGTTCTCAGCTGTTCCTGGCTACATTTTGCTGCCAACCCTAGAACTTGAAGAAGATTTGCGGGATTTACTTTACCCATAGCCCTAAGTTTGAAACAGACATGTTTAGCCCACGCAAAAAGAGGATCTAACTTTATATCAAACGCTAAAGGGAGAGAGCAAAAGTGGGAGCCCACACGTCTACTGTTGCCCCAAGCAACGCCTAGCAACCCGTTACGAATATCCCTTAGCTGTTTAAGCGAAGGTGGTTGAACCTCAGTGCCGAAGACCAACTTGGAGTGCACATGAGCTTGAACATACCGGAACTTCTGAGAGACTGTAAAAGGAAGAAGTTTGATCCTGTGGAGGGAATGCAGAGCTGTAGAAATGCGGCTCTTCAAAAGGCTGGAGCCACTTTTCTTAGCGAATATGTGCCACATCCCTAGAGACCGAACCGACGTCTTCACTTTGAGCCGAGAAGAAATGACGTTGGTCGCGCGCTTGCCTTTAGCTTTGGAAGGGGCGACAATTGTTGATTTACCCTCGTTGATGAACTGCCCAATATCCTTATCGAACTCCATGGACTTCTGGAGCAGCAACCCAAGTTCGGCCACATCTTTTTCTTTGGCCCAAAATTTAGCGTCATCGATGAAGGTAGCTAAAGACACATGTGGCGAAACCTGTTTTGCCATGACTGCCCATACTGAGTACATAGCGTTAGTCATAAGAAGAGACATAGCACAGCCCTGAACGGCACCATTAGCTGTGGAAACTTGTGAACTGTAGTGCTTTCCGATGCGGAAGATTTTCTTCTGATTGCGATAGAACCCCAACACCGCTTTAGCTAGCCGGGAGTCCATTCCAAGTTGGGAAATAACTGCCAGCGCTATTTCGGGTACTATCATGTCGAAGGCCTTCCAACGGTCAAGGAACACTGCGATTAAACAAGAGCCGTCCATATTTGCCATGTCCTTATCAAGCGAAAGTTGCTGTTCAGACGGATCAAGATTTCGGGTTGCAATACCGCCGTATAATTCTTTGGGGCATACTGCAACATCCATGGCGTGCAATGCCTCAACCGGATGCTGGACCAAACATTGTAAACCAACGAACACAATCCAATACCGGGGAGGTCCCGCACGGACGGACACGCCTTTTGCAATGGTTTGCGGGTCCCGATTGAAGCTAAGCAACCAAGGCTGCTGCACAGAAAATCCTGTAGGACACTGTAGCACTGTCGGACTGTCCTGCAAAAGGAGAATTGCGAATTGCGGCCATGGCATTCGTCCTCACTCGATCTCCTCGACCACATCCGCCCCAAGATGCTCGCCTGGCGCTTTGCGAGGTGAGATATGTTCCCTTTTCGACAACGGCCTGCCTCTGCCCTCGTCGTGAGCGACATGACCTGGCCGACACAGACACACAGACACACACACAGACACCACACACACATACGAAAGCATCAACCTTCCGCAGGAAAAGAGCAGGCACGGCACCTGCAGCTGCTCCATCTGCAGGGTGCACGCCTGCTTTCTTGCATTTTCGGCGCGGCTGCATCATCCACCCTGCTGCACAACCATACATCCTTGCTGCACGCGCCCTCGTCGTTAGCCACTGGTCCTGGCAGATGGGTCAGCAGAGACAGACACACACACACAGACAAACAAAAAAAAGCTCTGGCGCGCGGATGCGCAGAAGCCTTCCACATCGACAACATCTTCAACTGGTCCAAGCGCAGGATGGACTCCGTCATCACCTGGAGT